TTCAAATATGAAATTTCATCGATCATATCCAGCCATACTGACAAAAAACTCCCCAAATCATATAGCGGCGCTATCAACTAACTATCCTAATTAGGCAAAAAGCGAATGAAATGACGCATCAGATACAGATACTATATGAGTAGTCTCTGATCATTATTTTTTTATATTTCAAAATAAATGTCAGCGACTGTTTTGGAATGACACTCCATATATTTTTCTTCAGATCGAGATTTTTTCCGAATACGCAGTGATATTATGACAAGTTGACATGACAAAAAAAAGTAGTCGCAGTAAGCGTCCCGAAAGGACTATCAGTTTTTCATTTGTCAGATATTTCAACACCGCATATATGATTTTGAAGTACGTTGTGAAAAAGAAATTGAAACAGACCATCGTTATATTGAACACACCGTTCACACATACCAGAGATTATACAGTCTGTATAATCTCTGCACATACTGATTGTTCTTGTCAATATACTTTCAAGAGGTAGTAGTGCATGAACAGTATCTGAGGCGAGATCTGAAGTATATCTGAATGTCACAGCATAATACAGAAGAAGAAACAAGTCACTAGTCATTTGACATATGGCGATATAGTAACATCGAACAAATAATAGTATATTATTCAACGAGCGCATAATGATGGCTATTATCCACGAAGATGAAAGTTGCAGTACGAGCCGAAGGCGATGAAGGTTATTATATTGCAAAATCACTAAATCTGATTTGAAATACTCATTAATTTCATCGAAAACTCATTGACAGAAATTTCAATCAACAAACAGCTTATAACTTATTTCCATAATTTCTATTGTGGAAATGAAAATATGATAAACAATGTTGGATCTAACTTTTATTAACAGGAAAAGAGTCGAATCATAGTATTGCAGACTATTCATTAACTTGCTTCCGATGGTTTCATTTCCCCACCGCGATGATTAATTGTAGTACCCTGTCTCTAGACGCTAGTTATCAACAATGAAGTTCCATGGTTCTGATTGGTCTGTACTAATCTATTCGAATAGCCCGCACATAAGTGTGAGCCAATCTGCAACTGTCAAGTGTCAAGTCCTATTTTATGATTTTGGTTGGTTACTCATGATGGTAGTCACTGTTGAGAATGAAAAACAGTGAATCCTCCTTTTTCTGTGTATTTCCAGAATTAAGGTGATTAAAACTATGAGAACCATGTAAGGTGAGTCTTTTGAATTTGCGTGTATTTCACGAACAGTAGTATAGGAGTGTGCTTTAGTAGAACTAGTAGAACGAATACCTACCTAACTAGTTGAATTTGACAAGAGGATGGGATGTCAGATAAGTATGCCCTCCTACTGTCATTATAACTCTTATTATGCGATTCATCACAATAATATCTGTCATTGAATGTTGAAAATCGAGTCATCAATGTATGAATGACTCCATAGTTGTAGATAAAGAATATTTGTCCTTCAATCTGCCAAATGAAATCATCATTCCTTTCTATTCGGAATCGAAGGAAAATAGAGTCACTGGATGTTATTAGTTTGATAAGAGTTCGGACACAGAAATGACAACGGTTAGGGTTTTTGAATGTTTAGATTTATTAAGTTACACACCTTGCATTGTGACAAGAGCGCCATAGTCGTCCCGCGCTTTTTCATTCAAAATTGTTTGAATTTGACAATACATTTAATAAACGTCAGAATTGAAATAAAATTTCATAATCATTCGAGATAAAAGCACCTATGGAAATCACTTGCTGTGTAATAAATTGTGCCAATTCTGAAAAAAATGGATATCATTAATTCAATTTTCCGAAACAAATATCAACCATTCGCTTATGGAAGGAAGATATGAAATGGCCTGGGTGCAAAATCAATTTGAAAACGAGCGAAATTTGTGAGGTACTCATTAAAATTCACTTCTTATAACAGCATCTGATTAGAATGAAACTATATTTTAGGCCCATTTTCAAACAGAAGATTTCAAAATCTGTTTGAGAGAATCTGCTGTTCCATCAATTCACAAAGCAGACGATTTCGAGAACAAAATTCCATTATTATCATCATACAAAATACAAAACAAAATAATCATGGAAAAAGAGGAAATGATCGCAAAATTACATAATGAAATTGAGAATTTGTAAACGAAACTAAGAAAAGCAAGTAAACTACGAAGTTATATATTATTGAATGGTGTTTTTGGTGCCGACCAAATTTGAAATTTAACAGTGAAAAGTGAATAGTTATTTATGTAGGTTATCGTTTTGGAGATATTTTCTATTTCGATCCATGTTCCTTAGCTCCTAGGGCACTAAGTGAAGTTGCTGAGAACTTTACAAAACCAAAAGTATTTGGTAGGTCTCTTCAAAATAAAATACTTTTTTCCTATCAGATGTTTATCGGAAAATGATTTGTTCTCTGTATTTCAACACCCTTTTTCTCCGAAATGAAGCGTTTCCGGACACAAGCTTGTATAGACTTTATTTCTTATAATTGTCCCAGGACTACTTCACTCGAAAGTACTCATGTTACTTCCTGTATATTGAGAATACCTACCTTTGATTTGATATAAATAACTTCATGTTTTATACTTATCACTGGAGTACAGTTTCACATACAATAAGGATATATATAGCTATTATCCATATGTGTATATTTTCTAATATTAAAATGTTGTTACATGAATTCTTTTCATTTGTATAACAGTTGTTCTGCTAGAAGTGGGTATTTGTACCCTATACCCATTGTCCATCTCCGGCTATGATTGATTTGACAGAAAATATAACCTCTAAAATCGTATCTGACAATCAGGCGCTACTAGGGAAATTGAAAAGACAAAGAGCAGAGTATATGTCTAAATGTAAATTTTCCTCTACATTTCTTATTTGCGGACGCCTATGTTCCATACCTAATTTGAGTGTACATGCCCACACTTCATCTAAAATCTACTCTATCTGGGTGTGTAAGCAAAGTCAGTGTCCGACCATCGTTTTCAAATATCAGTCTGGGTGTGAAGGTTGTGTGTGTTGAAATTATCGATGAGTTATTATTATGGTTTATTGCCACCAGTGTACTCGTGGCTGATCTGACATACAAATTATTCAATGGAGCTGTTTCGAATCAACACCATCAGCGTGATGCTTACGTCAATCAAAACGATCAATTTGTCAGCTTCGTAATAATATCGATAGAGGCATACGATAAATGAGAAGTATATAGTAATAATATGATATGAGAATAGTTTCATACCATTTAAATGTGTTTCAGTTGCAAATTATGGGTCGATGAGTTGTTCAAAGTTGGCTAAACATGTTGCCCAGTCGCAAATTATAGTTGAGTTCTTTGGAAATAGTCGAACGCAGGTAGGTATTATCATTCTAAAAATCCAAATTAGTTGAGAATTGAACGAATGCACATTTTTATCCCATGAAAAAATGGCATGTCAAAGTATCATTGCATTTTAGGAGTACCCAATTTCGGAGGGTTCTAACCACGTGCTATGTAAACAAACATTTGGTGAATATCCGCTGGTAACTCGGCAACTGCGCTCTGCGCACAAATTCGACGTTTTGAGATGATCTTAGTATTCTTAGTTGGCAGCATTTGTGCTCGTCAACGGAAATATTGAAAAAACGCTTGCATTGCTGCCACGAGCTCATATTACTTCATGATAAAATACTCAGTGAGGTATCAAACAACGCCTCTGATGCAGCAGAACGAAGAAAAGTTGTGATTTTGAGGATAAAATATGAATTATAATAGTCATATATAAATTGTTGACACTCCAAGAAGGGAAAAACGGATACTTTGATGACCTCGAAACTATTTGTTGGTCTATATATTCGATGAAATGAATATGCTTGAATGTCAATAATAATATCGAAATCAATAAGGACTTTTCCTGAACTTATCCCTTTTTCTGACAAACAGATTCTCAATATTTTGTGTGACTTATATGAATATAAACACTCTTCCTCTTCAAATATGGCCTTCCATATTATATGTGTGGAATTCTGATAAACGAATGTTTTGTCAATTTCGATTGCCTACATTTTGTTGGCTTTCTTGTTATTTTGGTAACATCGATTTCGTGCTTGCTCATCCAAGGTTGAAAAAGGCATAGCCTTTGTTTTTGCACTACAATTTCGTTCGAGTGTTTTAAAATCTTGAAAATATATGATTATGAACATATAAGTTCACTTGTGTAACTCCTGTAACTACTTGGAAACCTTTCCTTGAAGTTTCAATTCATATTGAATAATTATGGGACTACAATTTTTTCATATCAGATCATATATACGCCAGCAATCGATTTGAGATGTTTGATGAGAAGTTGCTATTTCCCTTGAATGAACCAGTTGTTCTACTTCTCCAAAAATTTCATGATCAATTCCACAACCACGACCCAATTCACAAAACACAATCAATTTGAATAATAATATTTTTAAAATGTCAGAGCATGACAGACACATTCGCAAAGTTAGATAAACTTAAACTCTTATACTTCTTCATGAACGACACCTAGCAACAACAAACTATTGTTAAAAATAGTGTTGTCAGTTCAACAATATTGCTATCAGTTGAACTTACAACTAATCTTGCAGTCATTGTCCAAACAGAACTCAATATTGATCAATATGATCATAACAATAAATGTTAATTTTTCCACCACTAGCTATGAAACCTACCTACCATTGTTTACTCCCGAGTTTACTCCTCTCAATAAAGACAAAGCCACCTCTGATATAATAAAAGCGTCTACTCCTTGGTCACAATATTCAATGTGGCATAGTGCCACATTATAAAATAAATACCAATAAGCTGCATAACTCGGATTCTTTCAATTAGTGCAGTTGAAAAAAAAGTATAGTGTGCAACATGTGGGGAAAAGCACTTTTCTCAACTCATATTTTTGCATCACTCGCCCTTTCAAAACGGAAAACCGTGCGGAAAATTCACTTTTCCGCACACTCGTAGTTAAAATAAAGAACAATCAGTGGAGTTTTTTACCACTCACCTGAGCATACTCCGCACATATATCGATCCCGACCACGAAGTTCCCCACATCCTCCACCGTCCAATTGGACACATCCTCGTGCAGCTTCGGGCTCTCGCTGGCCGCCCGCTTGGGCCCCACTGTGGGGGGCAGGCCGCCCGTGGGGCTGCCCACAGAGGGCGTCTTGGTGCGGGGCCTCTTCGCGGGCGGCGCGCCTGCTGAGAGGTCCAGGGGCGAGGAGGTTTCCGGGCGTTTCACGTTCTTGAGAAGACCCTGGAAGATGAAACAACGTCTTCTGAACTGGTCAACATTGATAATGTCGTGGTCCAAAATATGGCCTGGATTCAAAGTTTTTTTTTCTTTGATGTTCTGGTTCCCACGAAAAGGGATATCCTGTAATGTTTAGAGGACATCGTGAGAACCAAGGGAAATAAGGTAGGAATTAATGTTCTTCTTGAATTTCTGGAGGTTATATCCCTCGGAGAACATCTCCCTTGGCAATGTATTCCAGAGCCTTGCTGTTCGTTGGATGAACGAGTCTTTGGAACGAGATGCTCTGCAGGTCTTCAAAGTGACCACGAAGGGGTGCGAAGCCTCAACTCGACGGGTTGATCTCGCGGGGACTTCCAAGGAAGAAACAATTGTTGATATTTCAAAAGAGCATCTTCCATGAAAATATCTATAAAATAGACCCAAATCGCCTTCTACGGTGTTCCAGAGAAGTGAGTGGATTTGTGAGCAAGGCATCACCCACGAGACGAATTGTTTGTGTTCTGATTGCATTGAAATCTACCAAGTTATTGGATCCCCATTCGAGAATTGTTGCCAAGTCCATATTTATGTTGTCAACATTTCTCCCTCGTTCGTTTCTGATGTGCCTGGCTGGTATTGGAGCCCTGGGAGAGAGGGCCGTATGGAGGGTACTGTGTCAATATGGAACTTCTGTAATGGGGAAGACCACTGATTTTTTAAAACGACATTATCGTGAACTCTATACTGAAAAACTACCGGTGAATTAATTTTGAATTTTTTCATTCATGCTAAGACGATGAAAAAAATAAATTAGTATATGTCCATTTCAAAACACACAATTCCTGCGCCATTTGAAATTTCATCAATTCATTGTTGTGACTGGTGCGACGTCTTAGTCCCAACACACCTATTGTCCTTGAGCTGACCAATTACACTGCAACACTGCAGAATGACGAGGTATCAGAGAGAGATAGCTACAGTTCGGGACTAATACGTCACGACTCCACCATCATATTTGGCTGTTTGAAATATCGAATGAAATATGCTGATTTGAAAACGATATAGATTCGATTCCCTTTAACTTCAACTCATAATATTGATTGTACATAAAATGTAAATCATGATTCGTCGATTGAAAGAGGTTTGCACGGATTTTTCCCCTCAGTGGTCTTCCCCATTGCATATATCATTGTTAGAGGGTGCTAATTACCGTTTGAACAGATATTTTTTTATTTTTTCTTCCTCCTGTATCCTCTTGATTGATGCTTTCTCTCGAAACGTTTCAGAAATTTCCGGATTTAGAGCTTTGATAATCGTGTAATGAATATTCATTCAAAATGATGCATTTTTTCGACGAATAATTGAATGAAATCGGAAGTTGGATTTCTTTTTCGAAGAATCAACGTTGTATGTATAGTCGTCGGATATGTGATTGTGTTCGAACCCAGAACAAGAAATACTGAATGATGAAATGGAGAAGAACGTAGTTTTCCGTAGATGAAACATAATTTTCTCTGTGTTACCAGTGAAATGATGGAGTGTTTCTTCGTCATGAGGATGTCTGGTGTCTGATCTTTATTTTGTTATCAGGAGTCGATATGAAAATGGCAAGTCCATTGCAATTTTGCGGAATATATTTTGCACAACTCCGCATCAATTCTCGAGTGCATTTTTGCTGTCAGCACTTTCACAGTTTCAAATTGGTCAAACATATCTTTCTTTCAATGTCTCTCGAGTAAAATCATGTTTTTTTTCGATTTCGGAATCACACATTAGGCCGATGATGAGAATGATATACATATCATAATATGTGATATTATACTGTCTGTAGGTTAATCGAGGAGGTGGTACATTCATCATTCCAGATTTTTTGGGATTTTCTCTCCTCGTTTCCATAAAATGATAATATGAATATTATTTCAATATACGCGTAGTAAGGACAAATCAGATGATTTGCCTCAAAATGTCACTGTGTTTAAAGAATTTGCCTATCAGAGAGCCTAAAAGTAAATCTCACTAGCTTGTCAAAGACAATTTGTATTGGAAAAAGTTTGGAGAAGAGAAATTAAGGTATATAGAGGAAATATCAAATTTTTACTCATCTTTGGACGTTTCACGAGTATATATATATATATATAACATGGTATTCACTATCAGGGATTCATCAAGTCAAGTAGCTTGATATTTTAACAAACTACTTGACTTGACTTGAAAATCAAGCTCGTGGCAAATTACGTACTTGACTTGACTTGAATTTGAGATATTTATTACTTGACTTGAAATCAAGCTACTTGATAATACTTGATCTTGATACGCACGCTCGCTCACGCTTAAACAAAATACGGGGGTTCCCCGAGATCCGAGCTGACTGAATCGATCGCGCAGTCAGTCTTACGATGCCATTTTCATTTCATCAGTTATATACAGGGTGACTCACGGTCGATGGGAGGTTAGACATTCACGTTTATGATAGGAACGCAACGCAGGATTTTTCTGAAAATTTCGCATCTCACATTTCATCACCGATACTATCCATCTAATATATTTTCAAAATCACGACGTTGTCGCTTCTATAGAAAAGTAGGAACCACTTTGTTATTTCGAATTGAACACCCTGTATTTTATTGCATTTTCAGATTCTCCTTGAAGAGTTGATTTCATCGATACATCACACTCGGGGTATAGCGGAAATGATTATGGAGATATAGAGTGGGAAAAATCGAGATTTTTCAACTTCAGGAATTTTTTGTCGCGTTCTCCATAAATGTCTAACCTATAACATCGACCGTGAGTCACGCTGTATAGATACACAATAAAACTGCTGAAAATCAAGTAGCTTGATAGAACTACTTGATTTTTCAAGTACTTGATAAATAATTACTTGACTTGACTTGACATTAAAAAACTTTCGCTTGACTTGAACTTGACTTGATTTCAAGTCAAGTCAAGTCAAGTAGCTTGAATATCAAGTCAAGCCGTGAATCTCTGTTCACTATTGAAATCTTAAAATGAAAATGGTAAATTCAAGATCATTTAATGAAAACATCCTCATTTGATTGCCAACGTCACCAATTGTCACTGAGAACTGAAGAGTGTCAGGACAAATACAAATTTGCCTTACGAAAAATCCATTTTTTATGTTTAAAACGACGCCAATACGACGTGAGTAATATGACGTCATTGGGATGAGACTTATTCACGTCATTATCACGTCATGCGACGACAACTACTGACGTCACCTTGGTCATTCAAGTGACGTAAAAAAGACGTCACTGGAACGTCATTTGGTTGCCTTGGGTCGCACCATATTTTGCATAGCGGAGTGTACTGACCTATCTCAACAACTCTCGGCTACTGAATATTAAAACTATGGGTCTCTGTTTCTGTTTGGTGGCCTTGTATTCGCGATTATTGTAAAGTCCTTTTCAAGATCAGAGAAACTGGCCTGACCTGAGGTGGGATAATGACATGCGATAAAGTAAACTTATGTTAAGTACAATACTCCGTAGATCTACGGACACTCGAACCTGACAACACCGCACCCACCTGTATCTCGGCCTCCTTGGCCGTCCGCACCATGGCGAGCAGCGTCTGCGTGGTGGACATGTCGATGAGTGGCGGGAACATGCCGGCGCCGGCTCCAGCAACGCCAGCGAACGGGTTCAGCACCGGGAAGTCTGGCGGCTTCTTGGTGAGGTCGCCGGCGTCCTTGGGCTGCGCGGGCTGCGGCAGCGGGACGAGGCTGGGGAATGCGGCCGGCTTGAAGCGGGGGTCGAGAGGCGGGGGGAAGCCGTTTCTGGCTGCGCTGAAGTAGCTGCAAGGAATCAGAAAATTGAATTGTTTTGATAAGGAATATTCTCAGATTTATTATGAACATGAAAAAATGGATACATATACAGGGTGTCTGTAAAAGGTTGGGACATGGCTCGGCTGTGAACTCCTGGGATAAAAACAAGTTGATTTAGGCCAACTCACCTATATCCAAAATCGTCTCGTTGAGTTGGTACGAGGCGTTGAAGTTTTTTTGGAAAAAAATTATTTTGCTCATAAAAAGAGTAGGCTGAGATCGATTTTCATAATTTTTGGCATCGCATGTTCTGTGACTGTAAGTCATGTTTTGGGATGTTTTTGATCATCATCAGTGACTTGCGAGTGTTTCAAATAACCATGTTGCCGTACAAATTTGATGATAACTTTTCAGAGGTCGGACTGGAAACTTCCAGTTTTTTTTCCCAGAAAGATATTCCCTTCATAAATATTTTTTGTACTGTTATTTATTTGCAAATGAACCTCGAGACTTATCATGAGATGTACATTCGTTTTCATAAAAACATTATGCACATGAATGGTATCAGCTCACTGAAAAGCAGTGTACATTGATTCAACGTTTGTACAACGTTGAAATGGTGAAAAATACGATACTCTTCGATTTTTGAACATAAAAACTATTTCATTCATGATAATGAAATAGAAAACTTCGTAAAAGAATTGTGTCAATCGTTGGAACTTAGAATCAACCCTACCGAAAACTACCCTAGTTGCCTTCACGACGAAAAGGAAAACTAATCTCGAAACCATTAGAAATGGGTATGAGATAGCTATAGAATGAAAAACAAGAGGTAAAATACTTGAGACAAATTCCGGATCAAAAACTTCTCTTCATGAAATAAATACGAGAAGGAAGAAATCAACACGGACACAAAAGTTTTTATTATATGCCGAAATATCGTTGCAAAAAGCAGGGGATGTTCCCTTAGGACCCCTTGACCCCTAGATGAATGGACAAAGCAATAGTGAGAATTATCATCACATAATATGGAGCGGTGGTTTGGGGAGACTAGTCGAGCCTCCACAAATGCTAATATCACTTAAAAACTCGGAGACTAGCATGTGTATGCCTCACCAGTGCAATGAGAATGTGCTCCACTGCCGCAATGGAGGTGATTCTAGCCCCTACTCCACAACATTCAGTTGTGGAGAGTGCGGCAAAAGGAAATGACATACAGAATGAGTGCAATGAGAATGTGCCGCATTGCCGCAATTGAAGTGATTCAAGTCTAACAACATTTAGTTGTGGAGAGTGCGGCAAAGAGAAAAACACACAAAATGAGTGATAAGAGGTGATCCAAGGTAGGCCAATATGCCCATTTAACCAGCCAATCCAGAATTTGCCTCAACATGAGATAAATTAAGAGTACAGATTTGTGAAACATTGGAAAAGTGGATCAATCATGGCTTGGAGCTCAAAGAAGAAACCATAAAGTGGTACACAGATCCAGATAGCACCTCGTACCAAGTACTTCAAAAGCCTTGGAGAATTCTCAAGCATATTCCAGGTGCAAGTCCACGATGTATGGAAATGTGTACAGATCAATCTATAAAAAAGCTATGAAGGAGATATATCATCATCATATTCGATAGTCAAGCAGCAAGCAGCTATTGAAGTCTGTCATCTGCTGAAGTCTTTCATCTGCTATAAAATAGTTTGGGAATGCCCTGAAGAATTGAACCAACAAGCCAACAGAGATTGAGGCTCCCTACTATGTGTACCTGGACATTCCAGAGTGAAGGAAATGAAGTAGCGGACAAAAACGGTAGGAGAGCAGTTCCAACATCTTTCGTAGGGCTAGAACCCTTCTGTGCGATCAGCAGCAGAATACTGTATCAGAACAAATTAGGAAAGAAAAAGCTCAACAGAGACTAGACATCTAGACATCTGATACTACTGTATACATATAACCATAAAAGATCGAACATAACTCGAGCTTTGGGATTGAATTCCTTTACTCACTCGTTGGGATTGGTGTTGTTATACTTGGCCGCCAAGCTTCTCATGAAGTCGCTGTAGTTCCTCATGGGCGCCTCTGAAGCCGGCGGCGTATCAGGGTGGGAAGCCGAACTGGGGGTGACCGATCTCGACCTGCTCGACGTGTCCGGGGTGCCCGGACTGAGGCGCTCGTTCTTCAGGTGGTTGTTGTTGTTGTGTAGGAGGTAGTCAGGGGTGGCTATGGTCGTGGCGATAGGCCCGTTGTTGTTGATCGAGCGGTCCATCCTCTTCCTGCGCAGGGCTTTGGTGGACAAGTGGTGTCCGGGGCTGCTGTCAAGGGGGTCGGTCGTGGACGTTGTTTCACCTGGAATTGAAGGGAACACTTGGTGAACTATACATCGTTTTTTTCTTGTTAATGTGGATTATCAGGTTTATAAGTGTTCCTTATTGTTGTCCTCGGACTGCGCAGAATCAGGTGCGCAACAAATTCTATCCTGAACAAGTCTGGGATAATTTTGAAACCAGATAAACGACCCAGTAAACACAAACTCGTTGATGAAACGTTGAATAACGGTTGAAATCGTGGAAATAACGTTAGTGGTTGAAAACTTCAACGTTGAAATTTGGTTGAAGATGACCGAGAAATAAACACGTTATTTAAATGTCTTATTCTCAACAATTCATTACTTTCTGTTAATCTACAACCACTATTTAACGTTGAAATGAAACGTTGATACTTTCAACCAACAACACGTCATTTTATTTCAATAAAACGACACATTCACATCAATGTACGGTAGAATAATTGCTAGAAATAACCTGTTTATAACGTCAGAAAACGAATAGATTCAAACAACAATGTCTTGTTTATTCATCAACGTTTCAAATTCACATATTTATAACTTTTGAGTTACTTGATACGTCATTTGATCGTGAACTGATAATGTTGATTACTCATTCAAATACGTCTATTATTATGTGAAGAAGATTATTCATTGATGGAAACCACTTCTTCTCTACAAGATGGTGTTTTCAAAATTGTCCGAAGTGAATGTTGAAATATATTTCTTTACTTGTTCAAACGTTGATATGCCACGTTTATTTCACCCGAACCGGGTAGTTTCCACCGGTTTCAAACGGATATTTACGTTGATATCAGTGATTGAAAATACATTTTTGTACTGGTTGAAAATAACGTGGATGCCAGTGAAATTTTCGCGTTGATTCAATAACGTGATCAAAAGATTCCATTGAACGTTATTTCAACCGACCGTTGTGGTAATTTTACTACGTTTTTTTGACGAGAGTGTATTTACTGATGGGGAATGCTCGTTTACCCGATTTCTCACCTTCTTGACTCACGTGCATTGAGGGCATATTTAGGTTAGGGCTAATCCTAAAATTCAGGACGCTCTACAAGAAAGTTCAGGAATATTTTTAACGTTAGATGGAAAGAAAAAGAGTCATTGAGGAAAATCCAGAGGAAGTTCGAAAATTTTTGGCTACAACTCCCTCCTCTTTTCGCACAGGGTCCTGGAGATTTAGAACTTGGGAAAACATCAATCAAGCAACAACATCCCAGAGTTTCATTAACTTCCGACATTATTCCACGTAACCCCACTTTTTCCAACCTGCCGACTGGCCTAGTGTATGGTAGGAGGAACTTGACTCTGAGCTTTCCTTCTTCCCTTGGAATATTTAATTTTAAATTTGAAATTGGTGATTTGAATTCACTCAAATATCCCCTAGTCGGGGTTGAGGTATTTACCGTTCATAACTCAATACTTTGTATAATTGTATAACTATAATATGTTGCTAACCAAATAATTACGTGAACAAAATATACAATGACGCTGGATCTAAACCTACTTTTCATCCTATTTAAAGAATGATTAAAAGGATATCTCACTATACCCATTAATAAGCTGGCTGATCTTATCGCATTAATAGTTGTTCTTGTTCTCGCTAGCATTCGAATCCATAGAAACTCATCAATAATAGCCGAAACTCCTTCTGAAATCTGAAACGAAGTGTCTCCTTCATTCAAGAACGTCAAGCTAGCCGTGAGCGTCGATGAATTCAGAACAAGTCTCATACGGAAAACAAAAGGGAGTGCAAGTGTGTAAAAAATGATAAAAGCCACGGTAGCCAATCACCATTTATCACGGCCTGCTACAGGTGTCCATTGTTACAAGATGTTGCGTCAGCGGCGTATGTGACTCCTGCCTAGAATTCGATACCTTCCACTGTTACTTCGGATGCTTTCAGATATCAACTTCTGGGATTGTTTGACATGTATTGTGCTGCTTAGTTCTTGACGTACAACGCGTCATGGGGTTAGAAAACGTAACTATACCATGATTTCCGTTCACTGTCCACGTCCTTCCAAGTTGGCCAACAGAGATCATGCGTTAATAATACTACCTTAACTTAATTGTTTAATTTTGATATTGAATACCTACACACTAGTCGAATTTACGCAACAGACCTTTGAAAACGAAACATAGGATCTGTAGGTCGCCAGAACCGGATATAAAAAATGAGTGGAACGCGTCAACTACATTTTCGAGTGAGACTTCGTTCTGAAATATTTTTTGCGCTGCAGCGTTGCCGTTTCCATCGAAAAGTAGCAACAACTTTGTTATTTCAATGAGAATACCCTGTATTTTATTGCATTTTCAGATTCTTCCTGAAGAGCTGAGTTCATCGTTATATCATAGTTGGGGTCGAACGAGAACGATTAAAGAGATCGTGTTCAGAATTGAGATTTTTCTACTTCTTTGTGTCGAAACTATGCATTATCGGTCAGAACGGTATTCTGATCATTCTTTGTATAGATAGTATTTGATACAATTATACAAATGAAAAAATTCGTGTAAAGATATGTATGCCAATTCATGGCCATATAGAAATCCTATTGTCGGTTATCTGGAGGTTCTCTTCAAACCATTGTGGTTGCGACTAGCTGTTGTTTCTCAAGTAGCTATCCTATTGATTTTGGTACTTCTTTTTCCAGTGATTTTTGACCGTTTCCAACGTACATAGTTCTTTGTACCGTGTTTACATCCCATGCTAAACGAAGCAAAATGTTTTTCGTGTTTTCTTGAAATACTTTCTTCTGAATATTAGTGGAATTATCAAATTCGCTTAGTCATCTTACGATTCACTTCAGATCTGAGAAATATTTCCTTTCTAGTCACTAAAGAAAATCTACAGATGTTGAAGTACGTTATATCAAAAGGTAATATTCATTTTAGGATGAAATTTAATCATGATTTTTGGTATTATTCCGAATGAAATTCATAACGGTTTTATAGAAAACGAGTACTACTCAAATGGCTTTTTTTAGTATAATTTTTTGAACCTGAAAATCATTTCCGAATTTGATCCCTGAATTTTTCTTCTGGAGTTTTTCAACTTGGGAGTAGAATTATATTGTTGGAAATAGGTTTGATTCAGGTATGTCGCTAAACTTCTAGGAAAATTATTTGAATAACTCTAAGACGAAAAGTTCATGTAAACCTCGATATAAACATAAGTCCGAAAATCGGTTTTCGTAAATATCGTAAAAATCCTTTATCAAATTTTGTTGACATTTTTCAGTGTTATTTTGATCAATGAAGAGCTGATTTAGTCATATTCAGATTTACGAAAAATCGATTTTTTTAAGGGAACTTTGACAGGATATCTTGAGAACATATCATTACCGGATCTATAGGTATATATTTATATAAACCTTTCGTCTTAGAATCAACTCAAAAATCGCCCCTTGAAAATTGACCACATACTTGAATAACGTCCTGTATAGGACGCTGCTTTCGGGAATTTTGCCGAGTGGTTCTTGTTGAGGGTTGTTGATTGGACTAATAATCGAACAAAAAAACGAGTATGATTGGTGGGTAAATGGTTTATTGTCTGTTAGCCATATGATTTTTTTGAGCATAAAATGGTTTCCTATGTCGAGATGATGGTTTTAAACATGTTCCATTCCTGTGTTCAACAATTATTGAGATACCTACCTATACATCAAGAGTGATGTCTCCATGAAAAATCGATCACGATGCTCAAGATTGAGCCTAATATTTTTCTCACATTTAAGAGCGACGGCAATATATTTTATTATCATTGCCCCTGGCATTTTATAATCATGGGAACTTTGCCTCTGAATTCATCTGATTAGCTTGGTCAAGGAAACAGTAAATATAAAAATGATTAAATAACACCAAAACGATTATCAATTTCCCATGTGAATATCTATGAATTATTTAATTTATTCGGAATACAGGTTCAGAGTTCAGCGAAAACTAATCATTCATCAAGATTTAATAATCTCCATTAAATTATTTTTGGACTATACCTGCCTCCTATGAGATCTGAACAAATTCTGATGATACAGCGAACGAAAGGTCAAAACTATCATCAAAAATCGAAAGAGCAGTAATTATGTATACAGGTGCAATATCAATCGCTAGAAAGTGATATGACGATTCATCAAAATTAGCATTCCTCGAGTTTAAACAGCATCTCAATGATAATAATTATACAATGATTATACAGTGCTCGTCTAATATTTGAACCACCTGGTAAATCGCCACGAAATTTGGAAGTCTCAAATAGGAGATGAAAACCTACTTTTTTATGTGAAAATTACAGTTTCAAGTTTTAAAATGGCGGCGGAGCACCATCTTGAATTATTTTTTTGAATGGAACACCTAATTTATTATTCCATTTTCGAAATCTTCTCATAATTCTTATACATCTCACTCCTTTCTTAACCGATTCATCTAATACATTTCACTCCTACATTCAATAGTTTTTGAAATATTAATGTTTGAAAAGTGACATTTCGATGTTGTCCAAAGCAAAAATGATTGAAAGCATCATTTGAGTTTATAGTTGGCTTTTCAAACGTTAATATTTCAAAAAAATGTAAATTCAGGAGTGTAGTGTATTAGATGATGCTGTTGAGAATCATGAGATTTTGGCAATGGAATGATATATATGGGTTCTATTTGGAAAATATTGCAACATGGCACCTAGCCGCCATTTCAGATCTTTAAGCTGTCGCTTTTCCATCAAAAAGTAGGTTTTCATTTCCAATTTGAGCCCTCCAGATTTCGTTGCCATATACCAAGTGGTTCAAAAATTTGTAGGCGAGGAACGGACTTTAGACGGGCACGGTACACATCTTGTCAATCCACTTTGGGTAACAGTCGAATATTCAATATAAGAATTGGAAGACTATATCTTATGAAACCAAAGTACTCAAAGCAGCATGAACAACGACGGAAAACTCAAAATGATTGCCACAAATTTTCCTTAAAAAAATCAAGGATGGTAGATGACAGAAGAAAAACAACTACT